ACTACCTGTATAAGAGTCTTGAGCATCAGCACAACTGTGTTGAATTTGCAACGTGGCAAATTTAAACATATTTAATTGCAAGAGTCCACGAGTTATAATAAGAATTTCTATTGCTAGCCAAGTCTGTTGTTTAAGTGTGTTTGGTCCCAATTTACCACCTTCCTTGCCACAGTTGTTAAGTGAATCGTTGCCATTGTTAAGTTAGGCACACGGTTGTTAAGCAAGTGTTGACTTTGAGCCACCTGGGTGGGTCTCCAAATAGCCCTTTTGTGACTCTGGAATGTTGCCACGCCCCTGAATTTTGAATGTGTCCTTGTGGGGCATGTCCAAATTGGACGTGACTCAATTAACAACCACTTCTGCTTAACAACAGAAATTCCAGTGCCAATGTTGTCTTAAATCAAGCACTACCTAGAATGCATTAAGGGTTTTTCTCTTCCTTCAAAAAAATTGAATTAATATAATTTGGTCTTTTCTTTCTTTTCTTCTTCTTTCTTTTTTCTCTCCTTCCTTCCTTCCCTTCTTCCTTTCTTTTTCTCTTTTTCTTGCTTTCCTTCCTTCTTTTCTTCTTGGTTATTTGCTTTTCTTCCCTCTTTCCTTTCTTCCTTCCTTCTTTTTCTTGCTTGCTTACTTTCCTTCCTTCCCTCACTCTCTCCTTTCTTTCTTTCCTTTCTTTCTTTTCCTTTCTCTTTTGTTCTTTCTTTCTCTCGCTCACTTTTTTTCCTTTCCTTTCCCCTCTCCCTCCCTCTCTCTTTCCTTTTTTCCTTTATTTCTTTCCTTCCTTCCTTCTTTCTTTTTCTTGCTTGCTTACTTACATTCCTTCCTTCCCTCTCTATTTTTTTTCTTTCTTTTCCTTTCTTTCTTTTCCTTTCTCTCTCTCGCTTGCCTTCCCTTTCCTTTCCTTTCTCTTCTTCCTCCCTCCCTCTCTCCTTCCTTCCTTCCTTTCCTTTCTTCTTCCTTCCTTCTTTCTTTTTCTTTTTCTTGCTTGCTTACTTTCATTCCTTCCCTCCCTCTTTCCTTCTTTCTTTCTTTTCCCTTCTTTCTCTTTTGTTCTTTCTTTCTCCCCCTTTCCTTTCTTCCTTCCCTTTCCTTTCCTTTCCCTTCTTCCTCCCTCCCTCTCTCCTTCCTTCCTTCCTTTCCTTTCTTCTTCCTTCCTTCTTTTTCTTTTTCTTGCTTGCTTACTTACATTCCTTCCCTCCCTCTCTATTTCTTTCTTTCTTTTCTTTCTTTTCCTTTCTTTCTTTTCCTTTCTTTCTCTCGCTTGCCTTCCCTTTCCTTTCCCTTCTTCCTCCCTCCCTCTCTCCTTCCTTCCTTTCCTTTCTTCTTCCTTCCTTCTTTCTTTTTCTTTTTCTTGCTTGCTTACTTTCATTCCTTCCCTCCCTCTCTCCTTCTTTCTTTCCTTTCTTTCTTTTCCCTTCTTTCTCTTTTGTTCTTTCTTTCTCCCTCTTTCCTTTCTTCCTTTCCTTTCCTTTCTCCTCTCCCTTTCCTTTCCTTTCCTTTCCTTCACCCAGATCTGTTCCATTTCCAGCCATGTCGGAACCCATAACGCTGAACGTTGGCGGGAAATTATACACGACCTCCCTCTCCACTTTGACCAGCTTCCCAGACTCAATGCTGGGCGCTATGTTCAGCGGGAAGATGCCCACCAAAAGAGACAACCACGGCCACTGCTTCATTGACCGAGACGGCAAAGTTTTCCGCTACATCCTCAACTTCTTGAGAACTTCTCACCTGGACCTGCCCGAGGACTTCCAAGAAATGGGCCTGCTTCGGCGAGAAGCAGACTTTTACCAGGTCCAGCCACTCATCGAGGCTCTACTGGAGAAGGAGGTGGAGCTCTCGAAAGCCGAGAAGAATGCCATGCTCAACATCACTTTGGATCAGAGGACCCAAACGGTTCACTTCACCGTCCGGGAAGCTCCTCAGATCTACAGCTTGTCCTCTTCGAACATGGAAGTCTTCAGCGCCCACATCTTCAGCACGTCCAGTCTGTTCCTCAAACTCCTGGGCTCCAAACTCTACTACTCTTTCAACGGCAACCTGGCCTCCATCTCTACTTATTTAGAAGACCCCTACCACGTCACTTTGGATTGGGTGGCCAGCGTGGAAGGTCTACCCGAAGAGGAATACACACGGCAGAACTTGAAGAGGTTGTGGGTCCTGCCTACCAAGAAACAAATTAACAGCTTCCAAGTCTTTGTGGAGGAAGTCCTAAAAATTGCCATGAGCGACGGGTTTTGCGTGGACGCCACTCACCCGCACACAACAGATTTCATGAATAATAAGATTATTCGGCTGATTCGCTACAAATAGACAGACACAAGAAGACGGTTTCCCAGCAAACCATGCGACGTCGCGTCGCGTCACAACCTTACAGCCTGGAGCTGACTTGGCAAACCATGGTCTAATCCAAACCTTGGTTCTAACTGGAGAAGGCCTAGTTTTTGTTTTTTGTGTTTTTACTAAAAAGACTAACCCAGTTTTTGCTAAAACTAGAGACGGGAACGCGATGGGTTTTTATGTGGGAATTACGTAGGGGGTCTTGCTCCGTAGAGGGCGGCTCAGTGGCTAAGACGCTGAGCTTGTCGATCAGAAAGGTCGACAGTTTGGCGGTTCGAATCCCTAGCGCCGCCTAGTGGAGTGAGGTCCCGTGACTTGTCCCAGCTTCTGCCAGCCTAGCAGTTCGAAAGCATGTAAAAGATGCAAATAGAAAAATAGGAACCACCTTTGGTGGGAAGGGAACAGTGTTCCGTGCACTTTCAGCGTGAAGGAAGGAAGGAAGGAAGGAAGCAAGGAAGGAAGAACGGAAGGAAGGAAGGAAGGAAGGAAGGAAG